CCATGCCGAACCCAAATTCCGTACGCGGAAGGAGAGCGGTGTTGTCAATTTCCTACGCAACGAGCGATTTATGCAGTACACGCGATTTGAATTTAGATTCCGTAAAAGAGTCGCGGCTCCCTGCGCACACTTTCAGAACCCCTGCCGTAGACTATTTTATAACTCTGTATCACCGAATTGCATTCAATTACAGTTTACAAACGACATGTTAATATAACTTAATGATATGCGTATATACTACACACATATACGCATTACGTGCATACATACACACATATATAACACACATTTATTCTTAGGTTCAGAATTAAAAACAATTAAATATATGCATGACATTAGAAAATTAACCAAAAAGCAGTGACCCCCGCAATTTATTTGTAATTTGAAGAACAACCCTTAGACATGAAAAGGTTGCAAGGAATTTTAGTTAAGCCTATTTCTCAGATACTGAGATACTTCGCGTTCATATAACATAGCATTCGAAATACAAAACTCAATATTTAAAACACAAATTCATTGACGTAAGAAATAGATTTTTCGATTCCTATATCTTTAAAAAAAGATTTTCTTATCATTCAGTAATCCATTTTCGTAGTACAAATTTCATGAATTCTAAAACTTCAATTTTTCTATATTTTCCTCTTTATAAAACTGGATGCAGATAACTTAGATTTTTTAGCGGCCACCACATTTTTACAAAACTTAGAAGCGCCCAGTCCCCCCTTTTTTTTCTACGTCCCCATCTTTCCCCTTCTTTATAATTTATGACATGACCGCAACTGAGGAATAGTTGCCTCGAATTCGCAAATGTGATAACAGTTTTAGGTAAAAATACCTAATATTTTGATGACATCACAACTGCGCGCGCACGAATTTAGGTTATAACGTCAAATAGTTCTATGTTGGAGTGGAAGGCGAGTGACTGTGGAAGCGATATACTGATTTTATTGCTTTGAAACTTTGATCTTTGAAAACCAATATATTCATGCAGAGGAATACATTGAAGAATAAAGAAGAACACTCTAAACGAAAAGCTAGTTGTGTAGCTATTCGTAGACATTTAAACAGTGTTGTTGCAAATTGTACACTAACTCATTTTGCTGTACATAATAATAGACGTAGATTTCAAGACATTGGGGCAGGGGATATTTGCATGGTCGATGTTACAATTAATGGTCAATCGCTATGTATATTGTCATCTGTTAACACTCATTCTGGAATAGACGGAGTTAAAATTGTACCTTTTTAGTCCTATTATAATGTTGCGGGGCCCCAACTTGTCAGCAACAGTAGTAGTGACTGCTATGAACTGAAAATTACACAAACTCGTAGGAAGGGTTTTTTTTTTTTTTTTTTTTTTTTTTTTTTTTTTGGTTAAATCCCTTTTATTCCACTTAGAAATCACAGCTGCGTTCACTTGAACGCTCACAAAACTACGCCGAACACGGCGTTTTTGTAACAAAATAGAAAAAAATTACAACTAAAAAATAAATGGACAGGATGAATATAAATAACGAGATAACTTCTACGAGGCTTATAATCGTAACTAACTTAACCGCGTTCTAAGAACAGCTGAGATTCAGCAAACTAACTGATTAAAGAAGTGAAAGATCACGAACTGCCGAAATAGGCACACAGGCGAACGCGCGGTTCTTAAATTTATTAGCAACACCTTCACGCTCGTAATTCAAGAAGGCACACTTACAATCTCGTTTCCCTTCTATTTAAACCAATTTACTTCTGCTAAATTGAATAATCAGCGCGTTCTACTCGATTTACATACTCTTGCATTGGCAATTCTAGGGTAAAGTAAAGGCTTGACAGGAAAGATAGCTTAAAATAAATGTTAGTTAAAATAAATATAAAGCCTACACTATCATTAATGAAGAGTGTTATGTCAACAAGTCAACAAGCATATAAGCATATACCAATGATTATTATGGCTGATTTTAAATACTGATGTTAAAAAAAAAGGGGGGGAGAAAGAGAGAGAGAGTGTTCAGTTTTATGAAGCAGCACTTTAATCCTAATATGGCAGTAACCAAAAATCCAACTACTTTAGGTAATTCATGTATAGATCTTACTTTTGCATCATCTTACATCAGTGATGAACTATTGAATTATGATTGTTACTTTTCGTATCATCGGTTAATCTTACATAAAATTTTAACTTCGCAGCGTTGTATTCAGGAATAATGTTAAGAAATAAATAATTAATACATTACTATTAGTTTCATTTTATTTTTTTATAAATTTCCATAAACATTCATTTTTTAAAATAACGAAATAACATTAAAATAAAAAAAAAAAGACAATCAATAAAATAAATATCTGATATGGATACCACATGACTTCCTTGTGCAACTTATTAAATTACATGGATTCTTTGCTGCACTTCACTTAAACTTATTTCTTCGAATGTCATTAGAGATATAATTCTCTTTCAATCATTTAAGTTCTCACTTCACGGCAGGGCAAAAATATATAAACCTCAAAACATCTTCATTAAAAATTGTAAAATGCAGAAAAACCTGAGTAAAAAAAATGACCGAAAAAAACATTTCGACCAGTTTTTTTCAGTGCACTAAATTAAACGTTAACCTTTTGGTCCCACTGCACAAAAAGACACTGAAGGTGCATCAACTGGATTTAATGCCTATTCTACTAAGAGTTTCAAATATAAGTTAATGGCGGCCTCGTTAGGCCAAGCGTCACTTAAAAGTTTTAAATTGTTGATAATTTTACAACTATTGCATGCATATTAAATAAAGGCTTAAAATCCTTAACTGGAACATAAGAACAACACTTTTAAGAAAGAAAAAAAAAAATGGCACAATTTACCAACATATAAGAATAAGAACACTGAGCTCACCGAGCTGGGTAACAGAGTGGGAATATATATATATTTACATACGTTTGTGTGGCCGATTGAAACGAAAAAGGGAGGTGCACAATTGGATGTTATAGTACCATATATAAAATTTTAAGATTTACTGCTGCTCGTTTCTGAGTTATGCGAGATACATACATACGTAGGTAGGTAAGTACAGAGTACAGAGTCCAAAAAAAAAAAAAAAAAAAAAAAAAAAAAACTAACAAAAAAAAAAAAAAAAAAAAAAAAAAAAAAAAAAAAAAAAAAAAAAAAAAAAAAAAAAAAAAAAAAAAAAAAAAAAAAAAAAAAAAAAAAAAAAAAAAAAAAAAAAAAAAAATAAAAAAAAAAAAAAAAAAAAAAAAAAAAAAAAAAAAAAAAAAAAAAACAAAAAAAAAAAAAAAAAAAAAAACAAAAAAAAAAAAATAAAAAAAAAAAAAAAAAAAAAAAAAAAAAAAAAAAAAAAAAAAAAAAAAAAAAAACAAAAAAAAAAAAAAAAAAAAAAAAAAAAAAAAAAAAAAAAAAAAAAAAAAAAAAAAAAAAAAAAAAAAAAAAAAAAAAAAAAAAAAAAAAAAAAAAAAAAAAACAAAAAAAAAAAAAAAAAAAAAAAAAAAAAAAAAAAAAAAAAAAAACAAAAAAAAAAAAAAAAAAAAAAAAAAAAAAAAAAAAAAAAAAAAAAAAAAAAAAAAAAAAAAAAAAAAAAAAAAAAAAAAAAAAAAAAAAAAAAAAAAAAAAAAAAAAAAAAAAAAAAAAAAAAAAAAAAAAAAAAAAAAAAAAAAAAAAAAAAAAAAAAAAAAAAAAAAAAAAAAACAAAAAAAAAAAAAAAAAAAAAAAAAAAAAAAAAAAAAAAAAAAAAAAAAAAAAAAAAAAAAAAAAAAAAAAAAAAAAAAAAAAAAAAAAAAAAAAAAAAAAAAAAAAAAAAAAAAAAAAATCACAAAAAAAAAAAAAAAAAAAAAAAAAAAAAAAAAAAAAAAAAAAAAAAAAAAAAAAAAGAAAAAAAAAAAAAAAAAAAAAAAAAAAAAAAAAAAAAAAAAAGAAAAAAGAGTCTTTTATTCTGTCCGTACGTACTGGTGTTATGCAAAAACATCGTTTATATGGATTCGAGAGCGGTCAAAATGAATAATTTTGTTGAAATGTGATACACGAAATTTTTCGCGATTACAATACTTCCTTTACTTCGTCTAAGGAAGTAAAAATACTGCTTTCGTAAGGTGTCAGCTTTAAAAAAATCTCCAGATTATTAAGAGACAAGTTTCTTTTGGTTCAACGCCCTTGAAATATTTGTTAGAAACAAAAACATAAAGGATTAAACGGCACAGATAAATATATTTCTATTAAAATACTGAATATAGTTTTATGCAGATTACAATATAATATTTTTAAACAAAACATTACAATATATTGAGTATGAAAAGCAAATGACAATATAAATAAAATAAATTGTACTTATTATTATGGTAGATGTATGAAAGTGTATCATAGCTCACAATACGTTTCTTATGTAAATAGAAGGTGTGTTAACTACAATGCACAGCAGGCGTTGTTTCTTTTCATCAAAAATTCTGTGAATTTTATAGTGAAATGATTAGGATTAATATTATAAGATTTTACTCAGTTCTCACACTGTTAAGTTTACATTATTTTATAATGACAAACCCTGAATATTCTTATCTGGGAAAGTTTTCTTAAAGCACTTTCTGAGATAGACTGGTTCATTATTGTTACAGAAACAATAAGAAATCTTTTCTAAAGCAGGTTTGATATTATTTATGCTAGAAGAAATACTTTGTTTTCTTTATGTTATTCTTACAGTTCAAAGAAAATAGGAGCTCCTTATGGAACACCTGACGAAATTTGGAATAGCATTTTATTTTTAATTACAATAACCATTTTTTACACTTAAATATAGTCACTAATATCTATTATACTGTTGAAAACTTCAAGAATTTATTACTTAATCTTGTACAAGCAGTTCTTTAAATAACTTAATCTGCTGTTTTAGAGAGACGAAGTTTAGTTGAAATTACATTTTAAATTTAGGTTATAGATTTTCTGTGTGAAAGAAAAGTAAATTCTCATAACTTTATTAAATGTTTTAGGTGAATTTAAAGCAAAAGATTAAAATGATATGTAAAAGTACATTACTTTCTTTATTTATATTTTCAGTTCATTGAAAATTATTTTTATAAAGAATACATAATATATATTTGAAAGACAGTATCAGTTCTTCCAGAACTTGTGATGGACTTCTGTGCAAAGCAGTCATATTTGTAAAGTCAAAAACTCAAATTTTAAACTTGGAAATACTTTTCACTTTCCATTAAATTCATTTGTACCTACATATATCAGGCTCCACAACTGAAAAACAAAGTTAATGTTTAATAGATATGGATACATAACCAACAAATATAATAGCAATTTTATCGTTTCTTTTTTTTAAGCTCTTTTGTTTTAAAATTAGAGTTTGTTATTTTATTTTACTTTAAAACTACTTTTTTGATCTAAAATTATTTTCTGGATGAATTAAATAAACGGTTAAATTTGGAAATTTTGTTTAAACATCCTTTAAAAATATCTTTAGATATCTTTCAAAGAATTCAATAATGTATGGCTTTGAATGCTGCTCGAATATTTTTATAGTTATCTGACTTGAGAATATTGCTGTATTGAGTCGTAGTATGGCTGTGCAATTCAATATTTAAATCAGTAATGAGTGCTTTGTGTACTGATGTCCTGCAGTCATCTTCTTTGAGCATGGAAAATGAAAGTACTGTTGCAACTTCACAAAATCAATGTGAACTGAGCAGGTTTAGAAAGAACACTGATATCTGTCAAACAAATTTAATTTTTTAAAAAAATTTCCAGAAAAGTCACTCCTATTGAATTCATTTGTACGCATATATTTCAGGTTCCACAACTGAAAAAAAAAATTACTGTTTAATAGGTATGGACCAACAAATATGATTGCAATTTTATCTTTTTTTTTTTAACTTTTGTTTTTAAACCATAATTTTATTATTTTCTTTTATTTTAAAACTAACTTTTTGTTTTAATTATTAATCTTCTCTAATTAGAGAACAGTTTTCTTCTCTAACTATTAACCAATTTCGCCTAAGGCTAATTAGAGAGCAGTGGTTCTTAACCTTTTTTACTCTGACTCCCTTTTCTTTTCACTGTTCCTACATTATCATACCGAGTAAAAGTAGTTTTTTTATATTCATAAACTGAAATTAAATACTTAACAGATACACATAAGGCTCACCGCATCCTCCCCCCCGCCGAAACTATAAAAATTCCACCAGGGAAATTCCCCCCTCGTTGAGGACTTCTGTTCTGTAGGATTTAAACAGAATGTACTATTTCAGGCGCCTGTCAGAAATAAACAAGAAAATCAAGTCTAAAGGTATAAGTAATATTTACTTGTATTGTGTAAGTTCTCCTCATAGTCGATCTGCCGATAGAGTAGTTGGAAATGTGTTTTACGGCAGTTTACAGCAGCAATGTGTTTTAAAATCCCGAATTTTAAACTTGAAAATTGTCAGGACATAAATCTCTGATTAAGAAAAAGTAAGGAAATTTTCTTTTTATTCAGTATTTCCTCGATTATTTTCTCTTTCCTAGCATTTTAGCGCCAAGTTCTGAAAATTTTAAAAATATTCGTGCAGTTTTCTCTTTTCTCAATACGTTCAGAGAAGGAGCTCACCTAGATTTTAAAACGGATTCTTTTACGTCGCAATTGTTTCCGTGTTACTAATAAAGACAAAAACTTCGCAAACTACCTGCAAACGTCACACTGAGCCTTTGCCTTTTAACTACTGAATTTTATGCCAACCTAATACAAGAACTGTCATTTAGTCTACGATTTCGCTGAGTCGGCTGCACATCCACTTTCTCTAATTATTTATGGGTGATTTGAGACCTATATAGTAGCACAGACAACAGTAAGAACGAGCGAGATTCAAGTTACGGGGAAGTAGAAATAAAGATATTATTAAATACTATATTGCTGTGTATTCTTATTGGAATGCAGGTTTCTTTTAAAGAAATAATAGTGTGATAGTTACTTATAGTTTTTCCATTACTGCATTTCATTTATTATGTTTTTACTGCAATCACTTCCTGTAGAAATTAGATTAATCGATAATTTCCCCTTCTCTCTATTCAGGCGATAAAATTAGTAAAAAAAGGTGGAGAAATATGTGAGGAAATACGGTATAAATATTTAATTTGCTGCATATCCATTATATGCCTGATTCATAGGATATATTTTTGCTTATCTTTGGCTACACCCTATAACACATAGACCTAAATGTGTGTATATATCTTCTCTATGAGCTGCTAAAATATTTTTTTGCTCGATCTGAACCAAATATTGCGAACTATATAGAAAATATAAGCTACCATGAAACTAGAACAGTTTTCTCCCCCAATTTAATCTTCGCCTAAAACTTATTTACTTGCTTTTCAATTCAAAGAATATGCTACATTCTTAGTCCATATAATATATTTTTGTTAAATGAGAACTCTAAAGAAATTCTTAAATAAATACTACACACTGAAAAATAAAAATATATTTATATCATTACCTGTTGTGTAGCCTTTCTTTAAGTCGTCTTCTAAAATAATAAAAGAACTGTTATAGCATTAATATAAAATGTATTAAATAACATGCAAATAAAATTTGCCAGGATAAAAAGAAAAATACATGATATATTTGAAAGCTTATTAAAAAGAAAAATTTGTTATGTCATTGAATAAAATTTAAATGTTTTCAGAAAATAATGTGTTAGAACGAATATGTTGGAAGGAAATGAAGTAAATACAGTTAACAAAAATGCTCCTTTTTAGTAGTTATTCTTTAAAATAAAGAATCTTGCTTTCACCAACTGTTTGCAAGAAATCCTATATATATTACGGTACGAAGTAAGATAAATACTTGAAATCTATAATAGAGATAGCTTAGTGTATATCAATCAAATCTCTCATCAAAAATCGCTATACATATGAAATGGAGTACAGTACATATTTCGAAATTTATTGTATAGATTTATGAATCAGAATTTTTCATATTTCTAGAAGATTACTGAATTAATCTCAGTTTCTTTATACGTACTCATTTTAAAATTAGTCAGTTACTCAGAAAGAAATATTGCAAGTTTTTAAATATTTTCATGTGCTCAAATTATAAATATATATTATATAATATTAATCGTTATGGTAATAAAATTAACTGTGGATTTTTTCTAGTTATTGAAGGAGATATAAACTTGTTTAAGTAATAATCGCTTGATTGGTCAATTAATTAAGACACAGCTTTTATGAGTTGAGACACAGTTTTTGCGAGCAAGAAATGACTTTTTGTGGGAAACTGGCTCGTATTCTTTTTGAAGTAATCCTTCGAGCATAAGTTTCACATCGAAATTTAGCAGCATTAAACATCTATGGTGGGTTTCTGAAAAAATGTTCAACATAAAGAGGCACATAGAAAGGAGAAATAGATCGATTCCTGCTGAATTTTTAAGCTAGTATTAGACTGGTAGACCAAAATCCCTCGATATCTCTCCGAGGTATTTTTTTCATTTTTGCAAGATTGCTTGGCATGTAACAGAAATTACGCAGTTATTCATTCCCGGCTTGGAACAGAGCAAGCATACGCAGAAGTGCATCATACAGATTGTAAAATTGGGTACTGATTTTGGACTACGAATTCTATCTGTTGAGAGAGCAACCATGATGTGTAAGTGCTGAGGTATTCTTTATCCTATTGCCTTTTTTCCCAATACCCAGCAAGCGATGATTGTAAAGAAGGATAAAACTGTTCATCCCAAAATAAAGGTTACTGGCTCACAAGGGTCGTTTATTCAGATAACATAAGTAAATTCATTACATGCCATTTTTCGTCAATAGTTCAAATGACGCTAACAGATGTCTTTTATTGCTCGCTCGAAGGGCCCTTTCACATTACTTCTAGATGGCTAAGCTATCTATAACAAGCAATATTTTTAGTTCTCTGAATAAATGTTGCTCATTGGGCTGTAACTTTCAAACTAATTCTGGGAAAGCACGTTTCTAAGAAAAGTGATCCGTTGTATTTCGCATTACTCAGTGTGAGACGATTTTAATGTATCTTAATTGTAAGTATAAACGGGATTTCTTTCTTTCATATCTTTTGCACAGATCATAAGAAGGGAAGCTGATCTTGGTATTGGACTGAATTTTTTGATTATGCTGAAGTATGTTAGGAGCATCTGCCTATGGAATTTTCCAAACCTTCTTAGAAGATAGACTTAGATACCTTCTTAGAAGGATTTTTGAAGGAAGATTGTATTTAGATTACGTACTAAGAAAGTCATGCTAAGCTAATAAGTTTAATAGCTAGTCCGATCAACCTTCGATTATGGAATATGAGGCAAACTATAAGTATATTGCGAGCAGTCAGTGGTTGTTCTACTTTTAGTAGATAGATGGCGCTTTCGCCACGCGCCAAGAAAAGTGTAAAACAAATAACTGGATGCTTAGAACTCCTCTTGATACTTTATAGAACTATGGATACTTGAACTTTGAAATACTTGTTATGATTTCCATGGCCTCTGCTAAATGTGAAATTTATATTAATATGTTGTGTTTCTTTAATGAAATGTTGTTTCGTGCTGTTCAATTAATTATCTTGGATTGTAATCTACATCGATGATTATTCCCATCCTATCGAGTGTTCTAACACACACAAACAACATCCCTTTAATCATGCCTTCTGAAGTTAGTAGTTATATCGATAAGAGGAAAAATCGCAAAAGCCCAGGATTGGACAGAATTAGTAACAAGATGAAGGAAATGGGTCCCAAAAACCTATGCAAATTCACCAAAATCCTCAATGCTACGTTTAAACTGAGTACTTCCTAGCCAATTAGAACACAAAAATTATTTCGCCTATTTTGAAGTCGGGTAGAGATCCAACCCTCGCATCATCATATAGACCGATGAGCCTTATATCAACTTTAAGTAAAATTGCAGAAGCTGTCGTCCTCAAACGCGTCTAAGACTTCATCGAAGAAAACAACATTATGGATTCCGTCGAAAGCATTCAACAATGCACCAATTATATCCGGTAACCGACCTTATTTCAGATAGTCTCAAGAAAAAACTTATCACAGGAGCCCTCTTCCTCGATATTTCGAAAGCTTTTGATTGCGTATGGTTACAGGGACTCACTTACAAGTTAATCACTCTGGGTTCCCCAGATCACATCATAATCCTCATAAATTCCTATATTTACGATGAATAATTTGTCGTTCGTTATAACAATATTCACTAAACAGGTCGCGAAAACCTTGCTAGTTTACCACAAGGTTCGTTGCTCTCGCCGACCCTTTTTTCACTTTATACGAACAACATTACACTCAACACCCTTGCTACACTAGCATTATATACAGATAATACTGCTATCCTTCACCAAAATCATCCGTCTATGGTCTCAGTAGTACACATTACAAGAACACATCCAAGCACTAGAGTCCTGGTTGTTCAAATGGAAAGATGAAAAATCAGAAGCTATATTCTTCTATAACAATGAGATTTAAATATTACCTTCAGTATGCATAATACCAGTATTCCTTGCAGGAGGGTCTGAGTGTAACCCCAATGTATTACCAGTATTCCCTAGACCAAGCAAGTGAAATACCTTGGTGTTATTTTAAACCAAAAACTTACATAGCCGCTACACGTTACATGTATTTTAAATAAGTTTCGAGGTACTAAAGCTTTACTAAACCCCTTAATTTCCCGAAACTCTGCTCTTTTTATGGAAAACAAGGTACTCTTATATAAGCCCATGTTGCGGCCCATCATAACCTACGCCTGTCCCGTCTGGGGTTTTGTTTATGACTCAAAACTGAAAAAATACAAGAAATTTAAAACGTAACACTGAGACAAATGTATAATTGCCAGTGGTACATTACGGATGGTGCAATCTAAAATGAACTCGATGTCAACAAAATTGATAGTTGTATCACTAAAATAGCTCTGTGAACTTGACTAACGATGCTCTCCCATTTCATAGAATTTCTTGTGTCATGACATCATCGTTACATTATTTTTGCTGCCGAAACCGGAGAAATGGGATTTGGATTACTAAGAGGTAAGAAATTCGATTTTTTTTTTTTTTTTTTTTTTTTTTGTATGAAAGCGTAACGATTTCTTAAAAATAATTCAAAATGTCTGTCTCCGAAAAGGCTAGAGCAGAACTTGAAAAACTGAAATCGAAAGAATCTTCATTAAGAGTTGGAAAAACTTAAACTTAACTAAACTCTACAAATGGACTACAATGGATTGAAAAAATTCTAAAGCATGAAAATTCATTTTGAGATACAGGAGACTTGCACATCCCTTTCCGTGGTTGCAAATAAAATTATTCTGAAAATAGTATTTATTTTGTATTTTATTTCCTTTAGTGGAAAATGTATCCAAATGTGTTCTAAGACTTAATTCGTTTCGAAATTACTTGACTTATGTTTTAACTTTTCTTAAAAAGAACAACATTTTCCGATTTTATTTCTGATTATATAAGAGAGAAACAAACATTATACTTTTAATAATAACGTGCTTCATCAATAGACTTTTTTTAATCATGTAATATACTATCGCTGCAATAAAAATCAATTTTAAATTAAACAGCAAGGCGTGGAAACAAAAAACTTTTAGTAATATCATTTGTGTAGCAGGTTCAGGTTCTGCATGACAGAGTGATATTACCTACTATTTTTGATTTATTTTTATCACATATCTTTTGGGTTTAAAGTAATGATTTAAATTGTTAAACATAATTAACATTTCTCATATGCTATTGTTCGCTCATAATCTTTCTTGTACGTATGTAACTTACCTCCGATAAAATGATTGATTTCCAAAAGCTGGAAGTGATCTGAAAAAATGAAAAAAAAAAAATTAGTTGGAATAATTTATCAAAAACTTTCGTATGGTGAACCTATGACATATGTTTTATAAGTAGCACGAGAACCCATTTTGGGTGACGTTTGCATTTCCAGAGCAAACCATTTTGAGACAAAGAAATTGTATAATATAAAAATATTTGCGTTTTGCAACGGCCTTGTTATTGTCAACATGTGCTGCGCTAATCTCAGGTGCGTTAGAGTGCATTCTTGGCAGCAGATGACACGGTTGGCAGACGGATAATTCTACATATGACACTGCACTGAGTTAAGCTAGGGGTTTTTCGAATTTTAATACGCCGTACTCAAAATAGTTTGCCATCACTGTCCTAAAACATTCACATTACATTGTATCCTTCCCTTATGCAGGGAATTAGATATCACATTATCTAATTCTTTATGGAACAGCATTAAGGGGACTCATACACCTTAAACCCCTCATGATCTTCGAATATGTGACTGTTGCAAGAATTGGGATATTTTATTTATTTTAAAAGCAATTACTTCCAACTTTTTAGAGCTGCCTACATAATATAGCTGCTTTGGAAACTAGTAACCAGAAAGTTTATGTTGCCACAAATATTTTTGTAATTTAATCCTCTTTGTGACAAAATATTTCGCCGTGTTTCCACCTTGCGCGCATGATATTTTAAAAATGGCTCATGGTACATACTTGAAATTGGATGGAATTCTTTACATCGACACTATTTTCTAACTGAACCAACAATCTGACGAATATTTTAATATTGAAAAATTTTATGGGCGAAAACATTAAAAATTTTTTTAATAAATTACATTTTATAAACTCAACTCAAAATAGAATAAAAATTTAACATGAAATTTTTAGAATTTTAAGTTCACAGTAGTTTCCAAATCTTATAAAAGCTATATATTAAATATGGAATTAAATTATGGAAACAGAATGTTTTAAACTGTGCGCGCAAGTTGGAAACATGACGAAAAATGTTGTCACAAAGTGGATTAAATTATAAAAAATATTGTGGCAACACAAACTTTCTGATTACTGTTCCAGAAAGCAGCTATATTATGTAGTCAGCTGTAAAGTTGGGTAGTAATTGCTTGTAAAATAAATAAGTTATCCCAATTCTTGCAACAGTCACCTATTCGAACATTTTATGGGTTTTAAGGTGTATGAGTCCCCTTAAATATATGGCACATTCATTGCATGCAGGAATATGCAAATTTTTATTTGCATATAACTGTAAAATTTTTGTTTTCTTCAGTGCTCAGATAACAATTAGAAGTATTTTGTAAAATACTCCACTGGGTGGAAAAGTGTCTGATTCGTTTTAACCGATTGTGGACGATAAATCAAATTTTTAGCTCGCATTTGTAAATTCCACAAAAATTTCAAAACTTTCCATTATTCTTCTGAATAATTCATTTATCTATATGAATTATAAACCTGATAATATAATACGAAACGTATCATTTCACATGTTTCACACACTCACAAACACATACAAAAGATAAAATGTTTCAACTGAGTGAAAAAAAAACTGATGCACAAACCTTCTTCATCTTCTCCTTCCTCTTGCTCTTCCGGGTCGATTTCATTTTTGTAGTCATAGCCATCCTCTGGAATTTCTTGAAAAATAAATTAAGAAATTTATTTGGTTTAGTAGGAAGTAGTTCCTTGACAAGTAAAAAAGAGAGTACTTTAACTTTTATATCAATATAAGATGGGATTGCTCATGATATGCATTCCTCGATTTAGTATCTATTAGCTCATGCTATTAACTACCACTACCCTTAATTTCAATTTATTCATGCTAACGAAATATAGGAAGACGTAAAAAAATTTTAAATAATACTTAATCAAAAAAACTTAAGAGGTTTGGCATCCCACTTGTTTCATTTAGCTTCTTCCGGAAGACTATCTCTCTTCAGTATTTCAAGTTCCCTCATTTGATTTTACGAATCTAGAAAAATTTCTTAGTTGAACTTCTGATTGCTGCATTTGCAGCGTTAGCTGTCACGTGAGGTATACAGCTTTTTTTGTAAGAGATAAATGTTTATTCCCCTATAGTTTAAAATGTTACGTATGTAAAAATATTCAATTTACAAGAGTGTTTATGTTTTGATTTTAATATTTCATTCTTTTATAAAAATTAAGTAATACTTTAAGTTTCCAAATTTGAAATGAAAATTTTAGCTGAATTTTGAAACAGTAAAATTATTTACGGATATTGAAAGCAAATGATATCAGAACTCTCAAGAACACATTGCGATTTGAATATTCTTTTGTGTGTCAAGAAGCTTCTTCGATCGTGTAAACCAATTTCACTCCTGGCATGTTTCCAAATCATAATCTTAATAAAAAAAACATAAAAAGCTTGAAACCGACAGCTTTCTTTCTCATGAACTGTTGATTTTCAGGATTATCCCAGCCTACCTATTTTAAAGAAAGAAAAGCAACATAATTACCTTAAGATTATTCAACGTGACTGGTCAGGAGAAGGTGCATTAAAACAAATAAGTATTTACTCAAATAAATTACAGGAGAATTTCAAATAAAGGGCAATAAGATTGTTGCAGAGAAATAAAAGGCTTAAGCAATGTGTTTGTACACGTATCAGCTTTCATCTTTCCATAAAAGAAGCTCTCTATCTATGCTTTTATTACCTTTGCTTCAGAACTGGATTAGGATACCTTGATTTAGGGCTTAGACCTTTGGAGGCTCTAAGCACTTAAAAGATTTTGCTGCAGCCACATACATTTACAATATAACACCTATTTTTCTCCATTCCTTCTCTTTCGGTCTTAGTTTAGCTGGACCATACATTCCATGGTAAAACCGTCAAAGAGAAATTCTTATCGTTGATCTTTTTTCCTTTTCCTTTGATGCTCTAAGAAAGTGCCTATTTTATTTAATGGTTAATCCAGCCGTGCTTTGCTTCCATTCCTATTCTAATATTTTTTCAGAGGTGAGGATTCTACCCGAGATGTTGTTGGTTCTTTTACCCTTTGAATAATATTTCAAACATACCGCGGAGATATCACTACCCATTTGATCGCTGTGCTTGGAGATCCATGTCCTCGAAGAGAGTTCAGGGAATTGAGCTATGAGGCATTGTTCCTAGTATATTATTTTGGTCTTTGTTTCACGTAATGCAGAAACTGTACCTATAACGTCGGTTAGTTTTCGTTATAAAGGCTTGGGAAAGAGCGAGCAAGAAGTTTCTGCATCCGAAAGAGCTCTTCATTGGGCTTTGGCAAACATATAAGTTCTGTATAGTCCGGGTTAAGATTTTGGGTTCCACAGAAGCCCTAAACCTTTCATCAAATATGGCGTTTCAAATCCTAGTTTAAAATCCTGCCGTAAATAATAATGTGTCTACAAAGAAAGCATTAATCAGATGAGGGAAATGAGTAAATAGCCATCGGGATTTCTACTGACAGCAAACAAAGCAAGTACTTTACAGAAAATATAATGTCAGATGTACTGAGACTAAAAGTTCCGTATTATTCCTAAAATAAAAACTAAATCGGAAATTAAACCTTAGCATGATTTTTAAGATGCTCATAACGTAAGTCCTACGTCTGCTGAAAAAATAAACCACAGTTAAGCTCGTCAGTTAAACGGACACCAAGCTTTTCCCCGAATAACCATTTGGGATGCCGTCACAGCACATATGCGTACTTGATAACAAATAGATGTGGTTGAGATTAATTAGAATAATTTATTACATTTTGTGTTGCAATGGCCGTACTCAATGAATTCGTGTGAAATGAAGAATTGTTTCCGAGTTTGTTCTGGAAAATGTTTCGTGTCTTTTGTGTAGTTCATCATTGTGTACAGTTTTTGCTCCCAATTCTGTCTTTTATGTATTCGATTAGTAGTTGATTTAATAAGATATTTGAGGGAAATAATATTTTGATCACCGAGCAAGATGAATGCAAAAAGAGTGAGCTTTTCCATCGAAGATAAGAAACACATTGCAGAGAACTCCGGAGAAAAGAATCTTACTTCTGCAAAGAAAAGCAATTAGATCTCTTTATGAGAGATCTAATTGCTTTTCTTTGGCGATCAGATTACGATGACCTTAGCAAAGGCTAAATGAGTGAAATGCTGAGACGAACAGTACTGCCAGTTGTTTCGAGACTTGGCCAAAGAGATCTGCTAGTCTAGGATTTTGGCAGCATTCTTTGCACTAAACATATCAAGAACTTTCCTGTGGAAAGAAGAAAAGATCAAATAGTGATCGGTATCTTTACTGCTGCGTTTTCCTTCAAGGTAGAAGCGAAGAAAGTCTTGAAACAACCAAGTTTTGAAATCAACAGCCAATTTGAAGCTTCATTGCGTAGAGACGAGTCACCATTCTAGGCATTGTAGGAGTTTCAGGTGTGACTTGGTGTTATAGAATAAGACTCCTGGTTGCTAAAACTATCAGCTTTGTTAACAAAACTTATTTATAAAAGCACAGAAGCTACTGGTGATACTCGAACTGTTCAGAACTGATGGTAAAGGCAAAGTGTTGTCAGCTGGTGGCTCTTGCAACCATTGCGAAACAATGTAATCTCAGCTTCAACGCGCGCAGTTAAACATGAGATAACCACAGTTGATTAAACGGCGGCTCCAAAGGCGTTCTAAAAATGTATAAATGCCCCCTGTATATCAGAGTCCGAAGACACTCACGAAGAAAAAGAAAATAAAAATACTCCAATCTGTTATAAGCCTAATGGAACTAAACCCTAAAGAAACGTGACAAGTAAAAAAAAAAAGGAAAGAAATAAACGACATTTCGATAAAATTAACTAGAAAAGTTAGAAAGTTAAAAATGTTCCTTTGAGGGCATGATTTCAGATATATTATATGATTAAAAAAATAGAGAAAGTTTTAGCTCTTCGCAAATGAAGCAGCAGTTGCGAACATGAATTCATAATTGCTACATATTCGTAAAAATGTCGCGGGTTTCACCAAAGTCTTCCTGATATTAAATAGAACATTCCTAACTTTTGCATCACAGTGCAATACATGGCTAGATTTAAGAAATAGTCTTAAATTCTAGCCTTCGTCATAAGTTCCTACTTAAAATAACTAGTCTACTATCATAAGTATCTTACTATGAAGTAAAATCGTCAGAAGTATTCTACTGTAAAGTGAAATCATGTTCAGAATGATCTGCCTATAGTAGAATGCCTCTTTTTTGCTTATATAATTAGCTTCCTTTGGCAATTTGCTTACAAGCACTTAAAATATAATACTTTGTACAATTGCAATACAGATTAACATTCATTTCCACGCGACTTCTTACAACCCAAACAAATTTAACTATTTTAATGAAAATTTATGCTATCTTTTATTTTCTCTTCATCATCATCAGTTTTATAGCAATACCGCATATAAGTTACCTTTCATTCGCCGTAGATAACCCTAAAATATTTTTCTCTAAAACATCAAAAAATCGAAGGTCTTACATTACGGTCAATAATTATGATGAATAGTAGGCTGATCATAATTTCTAACTTCTGTTAGAAAATGCATGAAATACAGAATATAAATACTTAAAGTATAATATTTCAAATTATCATTAGCTGAACTTATCAGAAGTTAAGTATAATTATTCATAATTCATAATTTAGTCATATATTACGAGACATTTGTACATTCTGTAAACGATGGTATGCTTAAAAATTATTTATTTATTTAAAGAAATAGATATATACATACAAACTCATTTCTGTTATATACATTTTCAAAATGCTATATTTTGTTATACCTGTGTTATCCGTATAATCTTCTTCTATAGTGTTTGTATCGTGGGCTGCTGTGGCTAAAACATACGAAGTTTAGTAAGTAAAAAGCAATCAACTTTTGCAAAGTGTATTTACAAAAATTAAAGGATGATGACGTCCTTTCATAAAAAAGGACAAAATATTTTCAAAATGTCGCAGCAAAAATAATTAGCAAGAAAGCAGCCCACAGCATAGAAATAAGATGGCAAAAAGACCCGAGTGTCGAGTGTTCTAGAAAGAAAAGTGAAAAAAGTTTTGGAAAATACACTCATGTCGGAAAATTAAGAGAACTGCCTTGTTAGATGGTCTGCTTTATCATGTTATTGAAAATCTAATCCAAGAGGGTAAAAAAACAAATAAAATAAGAAGTAGTAAAAACAGAAATGTGGGCTACTCGGCCACACCCCTTACCCCCTCAAAAATTTTAAAAATATATAAAATATTTAAAAAAATAGAAATATTTTAAAATTTGTTTACAAATATTTTATATGTTATGTGATTATCTTAAACAAGCTATACAGTGATTCTGTATATTGTTAGTAAGTCTGTTTGTAATTTTTGGAATAAGAAGTACCGTTCTTAAAAAACATTGTTTACGTTCATTGCGGTGGTTCGTTGACTAGGGTTTCCAAGACCAAATGCATCACTTAAAAGCTTCAAATACTAATACAAAATAATCTCTCTTTAAGCCATGTAGTACAGTATTGCTGGAAACACATCCACAGATATATACTACTCTGACACAAATCCACTTCATATTACGAATCTGGCGTTTCCACAGTAATCACTTTGAATTTGGCGTTTCCACAACAATGCTGCAGATAGCGTCGGTGTCGTTAGACGTTTCTCTATGATTCACCAAACGGAACAAGTGCTTTTGACACAAAACTTGACTAACAAATCAGTTTTTTGACGCAAGCTGTTAGCCGAGAATATGAAGGGAATATAAGGGCATATAATACGATGAAGCGTCTTACATGCAGGCAATCTTGTATAACTGAATGATGAATATTTTATTTCGATATTGTATCCTGAAGCTACCGGAGGGTCTTCAGTCTATGCATCTGTTGTGCTGAGTGAAGGATATCATCTGATTGGGATACAGCAGAGATTTTAACCACGCTGCTTTCGAATATTCAATTTGGAATCCCAAAGAAACTGCAGTGGAATATTTTGACATCCTGCGATATCTGTGTTCTGAGTGAGGTTAAACTCCAGTTTACAGATGATTCTACTAAAGATATCATTGATATGACTCCTGCCGTGACTATTATCTATACTCTTTTATGTTGGGGGCAGCACTCAAGGATGTGACCGCGAACTACCTGAACTGATTAAATTCAATCTATAATACAAATACCAACAATGCTGCAGATTTTCGTTACTGTTAACTTTAGGAATTTCGTTTAAAGGAAGCCACACAGCATCGGCGTTGCCTATTTGTTTCAACAGAATATAGTATCATATATGCGTACGGGCTGTTTCCTCAATTTAGAGACATAAGTGTATTTATAACAATTAATGATATATAGTGGGTGCACTGATGGCAGGTAAGAAATACATGTAGACAATAAAAAAAAAATTAAAAGATGGTGAGATGTTGGATAAATTTTGTTTTCACGTTCGAAACGTCTTTAGTAAGGTAATCTGGCTATTTTTCTGCGCCGTACAGCATTTCACGAATTCTTAGACTGAAATGTTAACAATCGGCAGCTACTACCCGATACCCATATCGGATACCCAATGCAGCTTACGGATGCGGCATAAGATTTAACTTATTTTTCAAATTATAGAAGTTGTCAGCGTGACAAATAATATAAAAATATTCTTGATAATTTTCAACAGCAACTAGTTATTAAGAAATATTTATTTGAATTACTGTTTAATACTGTCACAGGTATATGTGCACGCACGGGATTTGAAATTGAGCACGTATATTTGCAACATGTATTTCGACCGGTGAAAATTAAAAGAAATCGAGAAGTTCACCTGTAAAATGTTGAAGCATAATTCAATTAATGATGGAAAATTATTAGGGGAATCACCGGATAAAACTCCGATCATACTGTCTGATGGTTTTAAATTTAAATTGAATTCAAATGAAGGAAATCAGTTTTTTGTATCCTCAAGAAAAATGCATTCATTTTAGATTTTAGATATGATAAATCTACAGATCCTGCAATAAACAACGTATAAAATACTGGAATATTTGTAGGGAACTAGAATCTCTAAAGTGTCAAAACTATCTTCAGTTACTATACATTAGTAATATATGTAATTCATTCGTATTTGAATATGTCTAAATTTTGAAAAATCATGGTATAATTTTTAATATTAAAGGACGTTTCTAATGGACGCTTTTTTCTATGTTACAGACCTCTGTAACCAAATTTTATCAATATCTGAATATTAAGGTAAGTATAAAATTATGTTTAATATCCCTAACTCTAGTTGTAAATATATTTGCTGTTATTCACGTATTGATACTAAGAATCTAATGAAAATAAAAGAAAATTAATAAAACTTTTAGGAATAAATTTACTGAGAATTACTGCTGCAATACTGAACTTGCTTTCTATTAGAAACACTTTTAGCTTCTCTTTATTTCTCTACCTGCGGGTATCTTCGATCTTGTATTTTTACATGTCCGAAGACTGGTTTCTTACTTTAAATATATTTTTGATTAGTTTTACTATTTAAATGTAAATTAAGAATGAAAATAAATAATTTTCTTAACACACTAATAGTTATCTCTATTCCTTGTTGTTCTCTTTTATCAAAAGTCAACCCTTTTCTCATCAGTAAAAAACTTTTTTTTTTTTTGTTTTGTTTTGTTTTTTGTTATTTATCTTCTTAAATAAATATAGACATTTCATTATCAGAAATAGTCTACATACTTAATCATATAAAAACAGCAAAGTTTCATTTCCATGCTAGTGCCAAATTTTATGAGCCCATCATCCTACTAAGCTTGAAAATCCATCAGGAGACTTCTCTGAAGAATCATTAATACCCCTCAATAAGTTGAGTAAAACGGCTGCCATGACGCTATAACTTATCTCTGTAAGTGTTAGTCACTTGTTCATCTGTAATTTGATTAATTGCATTTCATTTTGAATCAAATAAAATAACCTTTCACACATGTCTTGGCTTCTTTGGAATGTAAGTGTAAAAGATTTCGAGGTATATGCTTCATAATTTCAAATGTTCTGCCATATATAGGTGCAAGATAAACGTATTAGAAACGCATCGGTACTTTATCATAATCATAATGCTTGCAATAATTCAAGAGAAAGCCTGAAGTAGACTGGAATGAATCCTAGTGAAGGGATGGTAAATTAATGTTTCTAAATGTATTTGGTCTATAAAGAAGTATAATAATGATAATAAATGAAATTTTAGTATTTTTATTATATATTAACAATCATGCAAAGACTAAAACACCTGACAGAACGTAATAATCCTGAAGGGTACTTACGTATTATCCCGTCGACTGTGAAAGTTGGCTACCATCGAACTATGAAAGATGGATGAGATCCTGCTAAAAATGTGCCAATCGTTCCTTCGGAATTCTGAAGTGCCGCGTCTTTATTTAATAAGTAATCACTGTTCGATGCGCTTTGTTTTTGAGCCTCATAAAACTGCTTTTGTCGATTCCTACTATTTTGTTAGACACTCCGATTTTACCTAAAGCTTTGCTTAAAGCACTATGAATACAAAATTACAGATTTTATTTGTTCCATATCTATTACTATTTTGTCGGCCATAATCAGCTGATCATACCGTGTCATTTTTTTATGTAAGATACACGATTTTTGAAAATCCATTGCTTGCTGTTCTGTAGAAGGCAGGTCCAAAATTTTAATAATTTCTTTCAAAATGTAAGGGAAAAATGCAGCAATAACAATTAATTTATATCCTTGTTTATGAAAACAAAAGGTACCTTAATTTGGGTTACATCCAATGATAGCGCAGATGTTATGAGTGTGCTGTGTTATGTTACGTTATCTGCAACTGACACTAAATCGTGCTGCTTGGCAGTAATTTTGCAGTCGACGTGGATAATAGGTAAGTACTTTATAAAGTAATCACGCAAAGAGCTCTAGCAACTGACAGCATGTAAATGCAAGTAAAAATGTATTACAAGATTCCACTGACTAAATCTTACATTTACTTGATTTTACTTACTGCTTGTGACAGTTAGTGTTCAAAGGAATGAAAACAAATGATTTCCCTCTATGCTAATTTTTTCTTTTTCTCTCCCTCTAAAAATAGAGATAACTGATAAGAAAATCAAGGCAGTTGATAAACTGATAAAAATATCAGTTTTTTCTTCCATGATTCGTTAAAAAGCAATGCTTAAATTTTCTTTTATTCTCTGTATGAGTGTAGATTTATTACAGCTTACAAGAGAACATTGACTTTTAGGTAAATACTGCTTTACCTTCATGAAATACAAACGTATTTCCCGCAACTGTGGTATTTCGCCCCCCTTCAAAAAAAGTAATATTTCGAATAGATCAAAATTCTATCATTTTCTCCCCCTTAATTAAGCTTACAACTAGATAACCCTTAAAACTGCACTAACACACCAAATCTTCGCGAAATATTTCTTCTTTAGCTTTCAAACGAGCTAAAAAATATAACATCAGCCACTGGAATATGAGATATTAATTACAGAAATGAATGTACTGCATAATGGCAGCTATTTTGATCCCATCATGAAGAAGGGTAATGACTCTTGAGGGAGTGTCTTCCTATAGAGCTTCAAACCTTTCTTGGCGTATAAGCAGTGTAAATTTAGTACTAGTAGCCGGAAGTGAAAATTTTCCTACGTAGTGTCAAAACTAAAAAAATGGCAGGAATGAAAATGAATCTATAATGCTTATTTTTTAATTCATGGACGTAATATATTTTGTTGGTGAAAACAAAATATACTGTTTTTGTTCTAAAAGAAAATATTTTAGTTTTCAGCCTCTCAGAAATAATTCTGATAAGGGTATGAAAACTGCAACCGTAATTCATGCTGCATCACTGTTAAAAAAGAGGAATTTTCCAGAACCAGAGAATGTGTTAAAGGATAGACTGTGCAGAAATGAAAGCAGAAATAGTGGGCTAAAATTTCATTTCGAAAAGCTTAGAACTGTCAAGTTTTTAAAGCTTTAACCCTTTAGTTTTCGAAAGTTGGTGCTTAAGCAAGGCAGTTGATTTTGTTGGATTAAATATGGGACTTACTTTCTTCCATTTCAGGTTCTGCAGTAGCGGGATTTGTGCCTGAAGGATATAAGCCGATGAATTAAATAAAAATACTGAAATTATGATACTGTTGCTTAAATACATACTTCTAAATTCAATGTATTTAGAAGGTCAGTCATTAATTGCAAAGGTATGATTAATTCTGAAACAAAATTTCTTTCGTTCTGAGAAATTCAGATTCCTGAATTTACTCATTCGGCCATGTCTGAAAGAAACATATTTAATAACTGGATACGCTTTCCTTGATACATTGTATTACTAGAAGAAAGTAAAATAAAAATATAAAATTGCAAATATTATAAATTATGCATATTATTTGATTGTGCTTGGTATTATAAAGAAATTACTACACACGGATTTTGTTTTCGCTCAAGCACCGTTATTAAATTGCCGATGATAACGCTCTCAGAGAAAAAATAATCAGTTTTATGTGTAAGTCGCTGTAGTCTGTTTCCTTAAAATAAACATTTCAGTGCCTTCCCTCCCCCCATTTGCAATAGTAACATGTGTCATCATCATCACAGAGCCTGAAGTACCTATTTTAAAGTAACATTCCTTCTTTTACTATTCGATTTTCTTAGAAACGATATTTATATTATCGGGACCTGACAGAAAGTTAAGGATGACTATCCGTCATTAATGGCTTTTCTAAAATTGTTCATTTTGTCATTTCAAATGTTAGAACGAATCGATTCTGTAGCAATAAACACACTATTGTATAAATTATAGTGTGTACCAAATCGGTGTTACTTAGGTCACAGATGATCAAAGACCACCGGTTACCTTCGGTTTAATTTTATTCGAATAATCAAACTCATTCTTTGACTACTTTTGTGCATCAAATACGTTTTTTAGAAAACGTATTTGATGTTGAGACATGAAAATAAAGCACTGCTCACTAAATCCAAAGCCCATGCTATTATTTAATATTCTGAGGCCTAGAATTTTATATTAATGTGTTGTACTATATAAATTTATTTACGGTTATTCTTGCGGGCTGTCTAAATGTATGTGATCCGAGTCTGTAAGGTTACTATCAAATGATTCAACGTAATCTCATTCGAAACTGTTTGAATTTGGATAACTGTTATTTTGATCTGTTTGAATAATGCATGGTGTCTGAAGAGAGCTCGATTTATTCTTTTAATTAAAACGTCACAGCATCTACAGCCAAAGTACTGAAAATTTAAAACTGTGACGAAGAAAAACTTGAAATGACAGCGAAAAATATGTCATGGATTAAAGCTCAATATAACTGAATAAATTCTAATTACAACACGTTTGACTTGAGAACAAAATAAAATCTGACTATATGAACATTGCCATTATAAGTTCTGTTTTGTATACTTAATACTGCATTCATTTTATTAAATATTAGATTTATATATATGTGTAAGTGTTTAAGAAGACGAATTTAAAATCATCAAACTGAAACTTTCTGGAAATGGGTTGACGTACCTACTGAAATATGCTAGTTTTTAATGCTTTTGAATTCATTTTGGGAAATAATCTTATCTAATCTTTATATCTGAAGAATGATCCAGTAGCAATATAATCATAACCGATACAGTTTAGTGACAATCAGCATCATTGAAAATTACACCTACAGCTATTTAGAAAACGGTTACCTATATTTTTCTGAATCTGACACTGTTCTGTATTCTTCCTGTGGGATAATGAAGAATTCCCAATAAAACTCTTTGGAATTATTTACAGTCGATATAATATTTTTATCTACTTGCTTTCCTATAACCAGAAAATATAATTACTGATTTTTAATACCATAAAAGAAGTGTAGGTTGCAATCCTCGCTCCATAAGAATTTTAATTTATCTTCTAGATTACAATAGTGCATTGTACGGTTAACAGCAAAGCATAAAAAGAGTATTCGAAAATAATAAATGTTCCACAATAATATTTTGAGATTTTTTATAATGACATATTTCATTAGCAATTCTATCATGAATGCAAGTATAATTTATAAAAGGTATTCTATTTCTGCGTATAAATTTTTGTAAACTTTACGAAATTCATGCTGCATCTCAAAACGTTAAGTACGTTGTAGTAACTTCTATTCAACGCAAAATATATTCCTTTGATTGACTCCAAAATTCACAAGACTGTATTCGGGTCACTAGTTTACTATTGAGCATAATAATAAGATTGAATAAAAGCATATTTATTTATACATTTATATTTTCTTAAAACCATAAGTATGAAAGATTTATTCGAAACTATTACTTAGATAAAAGTTTTACTGACAATTCAATTTCAATTCATTATTTGTAAATTCAGTTAAAATTTTATTGATAATTAAAATTTGCATTATCAGTAAATTTACTAATAATTAAATACAAAATTATAACTAAGCTGCTGGATATTAATGCTTCACATTCAGCTGATAATTAAAATGATTTGGTAATACTTGCTTTTACTCGGGCCCCGATATTTTATACATTTTTAAAACAGAGAAAAGGTACTCACTTGTTATGATTATGCTACCTGAAATGAATAGAGAAAAATTTCAGAATGTTAACAAGGCTGAATATGTGTAGATCTGTATTAGTTTTGCCAAGAGAAAATCTGTTATTTCTTACCATCCAGAGTGATATCTTTGACAGCTACATAAGCTTCTTTGTATGGAATAAATGCCTTCAGTATGAGCTAAAAATATTAGAAATATGCTTAATTACTCCTTGAGATAAAATTTTTATATTAACTGTTAATAATACTAAAAATAAATTTTTGTGTACTTAATTGTCGGAGGGGGCACTTACTAACTACAGTTTTAGTCTGATTTTTGTAGAAATTTATGCCACTGAATCTTTAGCAAAGTATTTCGATTTCATGCTCTGTTCTTTGTCCTTATATTTTGTCATTAATTAAATTATTATTATTAATTTTATTTAATCATTAATCATAACTATTTAAACTCCTCACTAAATATAATCTCTAGCTAGTATCCCGGGACTATTTATGTGCTTTGATAATAACTGATTTCAAATCGGCAAATTCGACAGATTTAGTACATTTTTGTGACAAAGAGATCGAATGATATTATGTTAGGGCAAAAAATATACATAAATACCCTTGCATATACTGGTAGGATTATCTAATTTTGATCGCTCATTTCCTGATACATTGTTGAAAATGAGGAATAAAGACTTATTTTTAGCCTGTTTTTCTTGGTAAAAGTTTTCTGTTTGTCTTATTAAAAAAATATTAGCTATATGCTTTATTCTTCTAACTAATACCGAAATCTATCTCAACGGTCCTTCATTAAATTCTGAAAACTTTCAACACAATTACCTTTCGTACGTGTACATACATATTTCTTTATTCTTGGATTCTGGGACTTAAACTAGCATTTTGCTGCTACTTTTAAGCAGAGTTTTCCATTTTCAATTTACCCCTTAAATTGGGAATAAATCCAGTGTCATCTGAACAGCATTATGGGCATCTGGGCAAGCCAGTGTGCTGGGGCCCCTACGACAACCACGTCCAGAAATTAGATGTAAGTGAAAATAGAAATGCATTAGTATTAAGACGAATTCACACCAACGTGGTTACATGCTGGTGCATAAAGCGGTAACCAGTCAGAAACGAGTTCAAAAGTGATATTTTCCGGATTACAAGAGACCTCGTGAATTCCCTCAACTTCAACTTTGTGCTGCGTCAATTTTGCCAAGCGAAAATTTTGAAGTTTATCAAGAATAATTAAGCATAATTAAACAACCATAAATGAGATATAGTTGATAATAATCTAAAGCAATAAATTGTTGTAAGAAAATAATGCTAGATTATCCTAGATCCTAGATTCTTTTAATTTTACTTAAAACCTACACCAATTTAAGATTGTTTTTACAGCCTCCTGTTGCCTAATGTATAAAGAAAGCGTTGGCCTCCGAAGCCGAAGATTTTCATTTCAAGTTCCTCAAGGGCAAAATTGTACCGGAGTTGGAATTTTTAAAAAGATATTTGAGAAAAAGTGTATCACTAGCTTTAAGATACCAACGATACTCATTCAGTTTGCTGAACAGGAAGATTAAAAACCAATTTTTCGCCGGTAATACCCTAGCGCTGAGCTAACGCCAGAAAAATAAAATTTAACGGATACTGAATAGTGTAGTTTCGGGGCCATGCTTTTCTCTCCTATGATGACCGTACAAATGCCCCGAATTTTCATCTACTTCGACTTTTTTCTTTTTCCCAGCAAGGAATTTGCATTTATTGTTTTCAAATACTAATGGCATGATTTTCGCTAAACGAGCCTTTGGCACAATTTATAAGATTATCTATGCCTTTTCTTAGCCTGAACTTAGTTTCAAACAACTGGCGACATTGGCAAGTAAATCATTTCTTTCAAAATTTAGTAAAACTATTATTTGTACAGAAAGGAATCTTTCTGTACAAATAATAGTTTTACTGTGTATATGTATGTTTAAGTATGTAACTTTTAAATTAAGATAAAATTCAACCTTAAATACTGAAGCTGATTTTATGGAACACTAAATAATGGTTCCATGTTTGTTTTTCTCAAAACGCATGATTGTTTTTCACACAAAGGTTTAACCTTGATAATAATTTTTCATCAGTTTAAAGAACCCTTGCACGAACGTCTAATTTGCTAATTGTAGAATTCAATTTCTAAAACAGAAAATAACTATTACATAAAATGCAATTACTTCAATAATTTTTAGACTGAAGTGAAACTTTAGATTATAAAATTTCAGACAGCGACTCTTCATTAATATTTGAAAGTCAAATTGAAATAATTACAGCTACAATTTCCTTATTTCCTGATATTTGGTAAATTTGTAAATTCTACCTACATTATAAAAAATATAATTTTCATTATATTAAACAAATTTTTTTAAGGAAAGTACTACATACAGCATGAAATAAATTTTATGGTGTCTTGGTCCATGAAAAACTTACTCTCTGAAATCGGAAAATGCAATTAAGAATTTTTAATTATCATTCAACAAAATTTATAAAAAACTAAATTAAATACATATGATTAATTTCTCAGGTATCCTTTCTTCTATTCTCCAAACGATGCTTTTCTCGGATATTCTGATGAAAATTGGACAGACTGATGACGCGCTATGAGAAAGTAATAAAAAAAAATTTTTTTGATAGGTTTCAAGCGTTTCTCATTAAAATTATTTGAATCTTCTTGCTGCAGTCGTCTTTCATTTATTAATATAACTCAGAACCTTCTGCTTCTTTTTTTTGTACGTAAAGCAAGAAATAAAATAAGTTATGAGACAGCAGAATGGTGACCATTTTAATTAAAAAATATAACTGTAGAAAACCAAATACATCGCAAAAATACACGATTTCTCTCAAGTTTCCGATATGAAGAAGCCATCTATCGGCCGAATATAAAAACTTTGAAAAGGAAAGTTTCCGCCATAATGTGAATTGACGCACACAGAAAGCTTTTTTTTTTTTTTTTTTTTTTTTTTTTTTTTTTTCCGCTTTCCCACCATCGGACTAGTGTGAACGCAGCTTAAGAATCCCGGCCAAGTGCTCAGTAGGCCCAATGCGATAAGATGGCCGTAAAGGAATTCTTGAAAAACTGAGGGTCAGATATTTGAAAAGTGGAGGCAATTCTGTGATTTTCAGAATCTTCACATGTATAAGTCGCTGGGTTGGCTTCCTTGCTAGATTCAATGAAAAAGCTGCAGTCCTTCCTGGATACGGAGGTCATGGCATTAAAGATAGCAAAGTCTAAACTTGCAAACTAAGTCTGGAAATAAAGCAATGTATCTTCCGAAAATCTGAACTTAGGAAAGCATTTTCTCTCCTAAAATTATGTGATGCATAGATGCAAAAAATAGTCATTTAGTTTTACTTCGTAATTTATAAAAGGAGTAAAGTTAGCTGCATCATTTTTTCTTGCTTTCCGGAAAAAAAAATTTCATTCATTCTGTCCTACAGAATAGCCTCATACTTGCTCAGTTTTGGAGTCTTTGTGTAGCACCATACCGAGAAGGAACTTATTCTGTAGGACATGAACTTCTGAGAAATTTTGTTACTGGCATTTAGCCATGCAGGGAAAGCATAAGTCAAAATTGGAAGAATAGTGTTACGAATTTGGTATTTAAAAAGCTAATGTTAGTTCAATTATAAATTAAATGGTTTTATTTCTCGCGCAGTGCAGCGCGTGACGAATATTAAAAGAAAGCTAAGCCGGAAAATTGAAAATACAAGAGCGCGTGCATTAAATAAATAAATATCTCTTTTTGATTTCGAGAAAGAGTACTTGAAAATTCTAGCGCGTGATTTTAAAATCTTATAAAAGGAGGAAAACATCTCAGTTTGTAGTAGTTGCTTAGTTTGTTGTTGTTTAGAATACTTGCTCTTGTTGATTGTAGCGAATTCGCGGATTAGCGTTCTTTAGCTGTTTTGAATTGCGTTCTATTGGATATTTGAGTAGTTAAAAGATAACTACTGTGAGATATTGTAATACTGCATGATAATTTGAGAAAATTTAAGCATTTTTGTTTTGTGATAATAATAAATTTTTGTTTCCTTTTTCATCGGACTTGTGCATTCATTTCATAACGAACCCGTACGCACGCAACAATTTTTGGTGGCAGCGGTGGGATTTGAATGCCAATACAAGAGCGATGGAAGAACAATTGAGACAGCTCATTAGTGCTTTTGCTGCATTCCAAGAAAAAGATGGAAGCTGGCCAAGCATCATTTAAGGAGAAATGAAATTGGGCCAGGAATCCGTTAAGGACGAAATGAAAGCCGTTCAAGCTGGTCAAGAAGAAATGAAAAGAGAAATTACTTGCATAATAGAAAAAATTGAAGCTATGGAAGGCAGAATTTGACGCAGTTGAAATAAAGTTGGACATATTGAAGAAAGAGTTTCTTCGGTGAAAGAGAAGAAATAGAAGAAAGAGTTTCTTCTGTAAAAGAACCAAATTGATGAGAGAGTTTCTGCAGTTGCCAAAGAAATGGATACTTTAAAGAAATTCGTAGCGTCGGCAGGGAGCAGGAGTGATGATTTTAAATTCTTACAATGCCTGCTCGTCCACCTCTGAAGCTATCCACATATGATGGGAAGACCTCCTGGCAGGTGTTATAAGACACAATTTTCTATCGTGGCGGATGCGAATGGATGGGATTCCCAAGCTAAGGCCTGTCATCTCGCCGCTTCTCTAAGAGCCGACGCAGCGGATATCTTCAGACTCTTCCCGAAAACAAAGGTTAGATTTCGAAGCTCTGTCCGGCGCCTTGGAGTTGCGCTTTGGGGAGAAGTGTTTAAAAAGACTACAGCAGGCTCCAATTAAAATCTCGTCAACAGGAGCCTACCGAAACACTTCAGGAGCTCGCCGCGGATGTTGAAAGGCTGTCCCATCTCGCCTTTTCGGAATGCCCCGAGAGAACAAGGGAAATCCTATCGCTGCAATATTTCGTCGATGGCAATCCGGGACCCTAAAATACAGAAAGCATGCGAATGGCGGATGTTAAAGATTTGAAAAGCGCTTTTTTAGTGTACGCCATGAAATTCGAGGCAGCCCAGCAAGCAACTCGGAGAGATCGCAGGACTCGCAGACTCGGAGAACCCAGTCAGAGCTGTGCGAGTCCACGAGCCCAGTGGATTAATTGATGGCTCGTTTAGATGATTTATCCAGACAAGTCTACGCTTTGATACGGAGTAGCAGTGAGAACAAAGTGGCTGTAATTTGTTGGAGTGGTTCTGAAGGTCACCTACGACGGCATTGCAGAACACCCCAAGGGCACGGATAATAAAACGGAATGAATTGACAAGACCAGTGAATGCTTTAAGACGGAATAGTGGTGAAAAAAACCGACCCTAAAGTGCTGGAATTGCGGTGTTGAAGGCCACCTACGAAGGAACTGCAGAACTCCCCAGAGTACGGAAAATAAGGCATACGATTTAAACAGACAATTAAATGCCACGGGAAGGAAAAGGACTGACAAGAAACCAAAGTGCTGGAACTGTGGAGCTGAAGTCCACGTACGAAAGAATTGCAGAACACCCCAGGGTACGAAAATTGAGACAATTTCTGAGCAACGACGCAGGAAACAAATTAATGACCATATCAAGGAACGGAGTTGCCAGATAATGAAAAACCCTGTTTTAAAGCGCTTAAGATCTCTATAGTGAGTGGCAACAATAACGGACTGTCCATCAATGGGAATATCGATGGAGTTCCTTGCAATATGATCATTGACACAGGAGCTAATGTTTACCATCATTAGGAAAGATTTAGCTGAACAGTTTAAAGATAAACTTATTTGGACGCCATCCTGTGTTACCCTTCAGACTGCGTCTGGTGACAAGATCGACATAACTGGGAAGTTAAAAACGTAAACATCACGTTTGGAAGTGCCGCCTACCCATCATACGGCATATGTGGCGGATATTAAAGATCCATGCATACTCGGATTGGACTTTTTAAGGAAATACAATTTTCCTTAGATTTCAAAAACAATAAGCTGCTTTCAGCATCTGATGGCATGACTATCCATCCTCAAAAGGGATCCTCGCCTGGAAATGTCGACGCCTTGTCCGAAAGATCGAGCTCGGGAAAGCTGCCGAAATCATACCAGGGTCGAAAAGAAACTCAAGACTACCAGCTATTCTCCATCCCAGAAGCTCTTCGGTCGAGACCTTCGTCTGCCTTGTGACCGCCTGTTTAGTCGCCCTACGGATGCGCCTTCATCGCCTGAGGAACACATCCAAGATGCCCAGGCCCGGTTTGAGGGAATGCACCGTTCTGCACGAAAGCGAGTCAACTTGGCGACGGAGAAAATGAAGACCAGATGCGACACAAGAGCTACTAGACAGAGATCCAACAAAGGAGACAAGGTGTGGTTGTGGAACCCGATTCGAACGAAAAGGACTCAGTCCTAAATTACAGTCACCTTCGGGATGGTCACCATATACAGTCCTGAAACAGGCTGAATGACGTCGTGGTTCGGATCCGTGAGTCTTCGAACTCTTACGACAGGTTAGCTTATTACTATGGCCATAGTACGTAATGTAAATAATTGTAAATAGTATCAGACCATGGTCCTTTTTGTTTTTTTAAATGTGTATTTGATTTGTTTTGTATTTAGTATTTGATTTGCATTTAGTATTTGATTTGTATTTAGTATTTGTTTTGTATTTAGTATTTGATAGCATTTGATTTGTTTAAGTTAGTTATTGCATTTATTGTAATGTAATGTTTATGCCACAGTTGTAAGTTTAGCTTCCTGTCCAGGGATTGTACTGCCCGGGACGTGCAGTCCTTGTTAAGGGGGCAGTGTTACGAATTTGGTATTTAAAAAGCTAATGTTAGTTCAATTATAAATTAAATGGTTTTATTTCTCGCGCAGTGCAGCGCGTGACGAATATTAAAAGAAAGCTAAGCCGGAAAATTGAAAATACAAGAGCGCGTGCATTAAATAAATAAATATCTCTTTTTGATTTCGAGAAAGTACTTGAAAATTCTAGCGCGTGATTTTAAAATCTTATAAAAGGAGGAAAACATCTCAGTTTGTAGTAGTTGCTTAGTTTGTTGTTGTTTAGAATACTGCTCTTGTTGATTGTAGCGAATTCGCGGATTAGCGTTCTTTAGCTGTTTTGAATTGCGTTCTATTGGATATTTGAGTAGTTAAAAGATAACTACTGTGAGATATTGTAATACTGCATGATAATTTGAGAAAATTTAAGCATTTTTGTTGTGATAATAATAAATTTTTGTTCCTTTTTCATCGGACTTGTGCATTCATTTCATAACGAACCCGTACGCACGCAACAATAGCATATTTCTTTTACATATGCTATTGGAATTTAAACAAAATAGCTGGGAAAGCTGCATGTTGAAATTTAAATTGTTTTTATAATAAAACTATAAATACAGTAATATCGAATGTTGCGTTAATAAATAATTTAAATCTGTACGATTTTTTTTTCTTCCGCGTCGGATACATTCAAGATATTTCTACAAGTAATATACAAATTTGCAGTTGTTAAATAGGTTAGATAAGCTGAACGATTGCCTTGAATTAAAGTTTCGACGATTCAGTGAAATAGTACATCACCACTTGACAAAGACGATTTTGGATGGTCATACAAAGCACATCGTATTTTTGATTGGTATCTTATTTTAGATATCAATCAAAAGCCTTTAGATTTTAGATATTATGCTTTTAGATTTTTCTTATGGAGTTTCTCAGAATGAAATATAGAGTTTTTTGAGAGCAATTATAGCCTCTGCGCAGTAAAGTAATTCGATTAGTAAAACTGTTCATCATACTTCAGTACTAAGTTAAAAACAAAAGTACCTTTGTGTGCAAAATTCGCAGAAAGACAATCTTTATAATTACTCTGAAGGAGTCAGTTAAAAAATTTACTAATTTTACCTGAAACGGAAACATAATTTGGGTGAAAATTTTCGAATTCTGATTGCAACAGGCACTTAAAAGTGACTGAAATAAATTTTCGCTCGTAATAATATGAAACTTTTGTTTTCAACTCATTAAAGTGTGATGAAAATTTTTAACTGCTATTGCTTTGTTCTACATGGACCATATAATATCCTCTCCTTTCCCAGAATTTTTCTGCCTACAGTGTTAAAACTGATTTTACAGAATTCTATTCTTTATTTTTAAAAACTTTATGTTGACAAGTATATATATTTGTGATCGTTCTTTAAAAGCGGAAATAAATACCATCCATGTATCTCAGACAGCAGTGCAATCCGAACAATTTAACTTTCTTCCATTTTTGCCGGGAGCTAATATTATAACATATAAAATGAGGCAAATCGTTACCTTGTGCTTATTATGGATAGGAGGCAAGGCCACTGGTTTGGATGACCAGGTCTCTGGGAAAGTAAAAGCATAGTCACCAGTCTTGGAGAATAACATCTGCTGAGTGTTGTCTTCTTGTACAAGGTAAAGCCGCAAATAAACATCTGAAGTGCCGTAGATTTTGTACTGGAAAGATACCCACGAGTTTTCATTTCTGGACTGCAACCACGGACTTTGCAGGATTCCTGTACCGCAATTAGGATACTCACATTTACTTAACTCTGCATACCGTTCTTGTCCATCTACAGAAAAGAGACTTTTTTTATCATCATATGTTGCCGACATTACACATAATATTTGAGTGATCATGATTCATTTTTTACATACTACGTACAGTAAATTTTTTGAAAGACGTTTAATTCGTTGTGTTTCGACTTGCTTAACATTTGGTACGTGCAATGTTATTTAAATAATTTCAGACAATGTTTCAATTTGATTGTGTATTTCAATTTCAGACCGTGATTTATAGCACCACGACCTTTCCGTAGACCGCTAACCCTCTCATACTAGGTAAATTATAAACAATTATTCTTAATCTCTTAAGCTGTTAAGAAAAAAGGCTTCAATACTTCATATTAGCAGAATAAGAATTTCTGAATATCTATACAAGTGAACAAAGAACTCTGCAAATATTTGTATATGCATTGTCTAACAGAGAAAATGCCATGCCATCTGTTATTGTGTCTGACGTGCAAATATGAAATATTAATGCATTTGAAATGTTACTATATGCAATTTTTTCTGACAGATATACTAAAGAAAGGTTTTAACGTAGCTTATTGTACCGCCAGCTTCATCGTTGCACCGCACTACAGAAGAAACGTAATGTGATCCCACAGCGATCACATTTGGAGACATCGTTCACCGGAAAGAAATGTATCATACTTTGATCAGAGCTCGAAGTTAGAGATCCGAGTGCATTAGGTGTCTTGTCGTAGGGCGTTCACAATCAAAGACTGGCGACAGTTTGAAAGAGTTCAGAAGGAGTACTGGATGTTCCGGTATGAGCTCTGACAATATACTTCCAATTTGCTGAAAATAATTTTATTAAACAATCTTATAAGCTATCATCGTCATCCTTTATATAATCATCATGCTGCATCAGAACTTCATCAAGGATAGGATGAAAAGAGTAGAGTGTTCAACGATGAATTCCTTCTTTGGAAAGCGAAGAAACTATCGGATGGCTTCCTTTGTCATTTTGTAGGACTACTCAACCACCTAACCGTCATCGTAAAATCATAGTTTCTAGTGCTATCAGAAACAACAGTTACTCACCTAAGTAAGAATTACGAGCACATTTTAATGTGTACCAAATAAAATTTTTCAGCAGAATAATGGCAACATACTGTTCAGATTAGCCTAAATACTTTTCAAGATATGCAGATGCTTCCACGGCATCTCCACGGCAGATGCTTCCACGGATTCTCCGATCTTATTCCAGTTTAGAATCTGTGAAGCACAACACTACCGCAGTCAGAAAATGAAGATGAACTGTAAATTTGGACCACCAGCATTCCATGGTCCTAGATTATGATCTAAATCCATGATTTGGATCCATGATAAGGTCTAGATCCATGATTTGGATACTCATTGAAATTTTGCTATGTTGAGTTCGATGTACTTCCCAAAATATCAGTTCCACTTCTTATTGATCACCCTGTATTTTAGTCTACTAGAGATTTGCCTGTATGGGAAGTAATTTGTTATGCACCCTTTTGGTTATCTGTGTTACTCCATGAAGATTTGTTTTTGAACAATCCTTCATGGTGTGGTATTTTCTTTGTTAGAAGGTGTATTTATTTTATAACGCTGTAAACTGGTGTATACCTCTCTCGCATACTTGTAATGTGATTTGATTTTTTTAGTGCTCGTTTATTAACGATTTTTACTCACATCTTTTGACGAAGCATGCAAAGTTATTTCATGCTCCTGCGACGGTGTACTGAGATTAGGAAATGGAAATGAAAGTATTGTTTAGAATACTGAGTTATTTAAGAAGAAAGAAGGAAGAAGAGAGATTAGAAAATGGAAATGACAGTGAGAGATTGCTCTGAAATTTGGAATTTCTTAAAATTAGTATTTCGCTAATTTCCAAATACATGCTATTTAAGTTTTGGACTTGCTAAAAAATTACAATTTGCTTTTTCCAAATTTTGCTACAATTATTTTTCTCATAACACGGATCTTTAAATTTTTCCTAACGATATCTTAATATATTAAGTTAAAATGAATCATTTTATGAGGACTTAAATGAGGTGATACAGAAAATCAGAGAAACGAAAGTCCAGCTCACCTGACTTAAACAGCCATCTTAAGGCCGATTTTTCATTATGCGTCCAGACACACGTGCCTTCGAATACATTTTCACATTGGCTTAGTACTGTAAGGAAAAAATGAAAATGAAGTTTTATTAGGTTAGAATTCTGGGCGAAAATAAATCCAACATGTTAACTATACAGGGTGGTTCAAAACTATACGTCAAAAATATAAAGGCAAGTAGAGGGGACCTAAATAAGCACATTCCGTTTAGGAACGTATGTGCGGTAATGCCGCATTAAAGCGCTAGCACGTAAAGAAATATGAATCATAGGAAACTGAAAACACAAGTAAAGACAAAAGAAAAATATTATTAACAGTTTACAATAGGTGCTCGAAAGAGTGGTCACCAACAGCGATACAAGATTCACATTGGTGGTGCATGGATCGGCGTACATTAGAAAAGATGTCGGGTATGTCGAGTACATGTGCAGGAGCAACAGACAAGCAGTCAACAAGAACTTCTGCAGATGTGACGGGATTCTCGTACACGAGGATTTAAATATGTCTCCAAAAGAAGAAATCCAAGCAGGTTAAATAAGAAAAAGGAGAAGGCCAGAGAACTGGTCCGCCCCGTCCTGTCCAATGCTGGCCGTAGACAGCGTCCAAGTGTTTTGTGACGCTCCCGGACGCATAAAACGATGTACTCGTGATTAACTCTCCATGAAGATGCTTGAATATTCTACGATCCGCTGATTCCTATCCGGGAATAGCTCCTTGTATACCCTTTCAGCAGCTAATCCATTTCCTTGTGCAGTCCCATACATGAAATGCACGTCGGCACCTTCCGCATTGGTGCAACAATGCATTTTGCTCGAGATCCGTGCGGGAAATGAAGAATCCAGCTATCGTAGTGCTTTTATACGCCGCAATCATTAGCGCTTTCTGCCGGCTTAACGAGCCATTACCGCACAAACATTCCTATACGAAATATGCTTAATTAGGTTCCATCTACCTCCTTTACATTTTTGATATATAGTAGTTTTGAACCACCCTGTATAACGTTGCTTTGTAATATTATAATTATACTGTTATATTTCGTATTTATTTTACTGTTACAATATTGCATTTATGTGTCCTTTATTGTTCTTTTGGAAACTAACAACAGTTACCTTAATGATACTTTGATCAACTGTGCTCATGGTCGCATTACGTCATTAAATTGAATGATAAGGTATTCTCCAAATTACTAATATATAGTATCTCCATCTACATGAATAACTGTGCAGCTCGAAGTTAAATTAACCAACGATGGGTTGAAATCGCTGGTTGTAATTAGAATTCAAAATCACTGTTGAATGACAATGACAAAGCATGTAAGCGCACATATTGTACTGTATCAGAACAGTTCACGTTGGGCCGTTTGAGAATGACAGAGAAGTGTTCAGTGAAGAACCAAGGACTGTTAGCGTACAACAGCGATTTGATGGTCTTTCATTTTCGTACATCTCTTTTCAATAAACACTTCCTCACAACTCTCTTTTCATGTGTTGCATAAATAATAATATCCATGTATTACACGCAATACTAAGCCAAAGTACCTGAAATTAAAATAAAGCAGACATAGACATTTCATATTTTCTTTCTAAACACCAATGTTTTCTAGGAAATCTCTACAATGACTTCTTTTTACACATTACCTGTAACATAAAGCGATTCGCAAAAGTAATCGGACGCTTTTATTAGATATCGAAAATGTATTGTTACGAATTTTGTACATACATAGATGATTTTGAAGAAACAATATGTGAAATTGTTGTATTTCTTTTGTATAATGTAATATGAAAATCTACAGAGTTATGCCGGAAAAATACGAATGCAGGGGCAAGTCTATTTAACATTGGGTAAATCGGTATCCCGGTAATTTGTCCGATGTTTTATTCAATCTATCACGAACACAACGCCCACAACAATATTGAATTTTTTTAATACAAAAATATTGAAGTTATAAAGTTGTATGTTTGTTTGAATTATGCATTGCACTTGAAGCACTTGATGCAGAACTTTATGATTCATACAGTGCATTCTTTAATCGAGGGATTGTTAGGATAACATGCATGTACGCCAGTTCCTCAGTAATTTCAAAGTTCCCATCAGTACCTCTTATAAATAGTACTAATTGAGCAGTAGAATTTATATCAGTGCTTTCATCTTTAGCTAAGGAGCAAAATTTAAACTGGCCAATCTTTTACTCTAAATGTGAAGTCAAATTTTTATCGATGTCTTCGATTATAGAAGTCACGGTTTTTTGAGATAAGCTTACAGTCTCAAAATTACTTTTCTTGTCTCGACATAAAACAACACAAACTTGGAGCAGGCATTGTTTAACGAACTCCTCATCACTGAGAGCTTTATTATTTTTAGCATTATTGTATGCTACAATGTAACTTGCATGTGTAGCTGCTTCTTGGATACTCCTTCTTGAAAATATTTTGTCGGCCTGATAATTTTTTACAAAGACTTTCTGCATTTTGGTTTCTTTCATATTGGACATTGCTTCGTAATTGGAATTCTTATGCTTAGATGTGAAATGACGGGAAATGTTATACTCTTTCAAGACTGCTACAGCTTCATTGCAGATGAGACACACTGATTTATCATTTACAACTGTAAAAAATATTTCCAGGTCCATTCATTATTAAAAGCACGGCACTCTTGAATCAACTTTACGTGTTTTTTCGTAGCCATTTTGGGGTTGAAATAGTTTACGAATAACCCAAACAAGCACTAACTACGCTATGCTTTTAATTAATTTCACCACTATTTACAATGATGTAAAATGTTACAATGACTAAATGTTACAATGATGGCCGCAATCTTTCCATACGCAACCAATAATATTAGAACTCGCGCCAAAAGATTTGACAGAAAGATTTTTTTACAACACCGATCTTCATGCATTCTGGCCAGATGACCAGGCCATTTAAATTTCTGTAGTTTGACGAGTTTTGTTACAATAATTGTTGTCTATAGATCCTTATATAGGTCTAATTTAGAAAATACTCTTCTCTCTTCCATGAGCCATTCACATGGGCCCCCATCATGTACGCAATGCAAAATCCTTCTTTTCAAAATACCCAATGCTTCCTCATCATGTAAAGTCAGTGCCCAGGCTTCTGACATATATGTCAGGACAGATCTGATAAGACTTCTAAAGAAGTAATTTAATTATTAACTTCAGAAAGCTGGATTTTAAACAGTTTTTCAGGCCATGAAAACACCTATTTGCATCAGAGATTCTTTTAAGTATTTCAGAAGTCTTTGAGCCTTACTAGAAGATGTAAATTTAAGACTTGCAGCATATTCATCATGTAGCAATTAGTTCAATGCTTCAAATACTTTTAAGAATTAAATATTAAAAAAGACAGTCAACACTTTATTGTAAAACCATTAAATGCTGTAGACTTACCATTAATGCTGATTTACCATTACTGATTTCAGAATAATATAAGTTTTTGGATTATTTCAGACATATTTAATACTCTGAATGTAGGATCTAAGAATAACGGATCATCTTTTATCCTGATTATATGCGGGCAACATTCTCATCGTCTTGACAGAAACGGGGATTTCAACTGAATCAGTTCCGTAGGAAGAAAAAGGTATGAATTTTTTTGTCACATTTCATGAATTTTGTACGGGTAATCTGAGGATTAAATTTACTCTAAAGTTCAATATGCTGGGTTTATTAGATAAATTTTTAACAATATTTCCAGCTTACACTAGGTTTATCAGAACATTAATTCCATTACAATTCAAGAAGCATATAAAATTTTTTTAATAGCAGATTTGCCTTAAAATATAATGCAGAGGAAATAATAATAATAAAAAATTATTTACAACATTTTACATTCAAAATAGATAACAGATTTACTAATATCCATCCCTGTATCACAATATGAATACAAATTTTAATTAATACTTTAAAAGCCTTATATAATATACATCTGAAAATTGGAATGATTGTTTTCACGAGTACAAATAGTTTTACAGGTTCCAGCATGAAATATATATCAGGAGATGGCAATCACAACACCTTAAATTATAAAATACAAACATGTGTATAATCAATAGCCCATTTTACCAGTACATTACTACCACAGGATGGAATAACATCCATCCTGTGGTAGAGTAGCAAGTTAAAAATTCTATTTCAGTGAAAGAATGTAAGATTTCTTTCTCAGAATCTGTGAGAAATAAGATTATTGAATATACTTATATACTTACTTAATAAGCGATATTTAAAGAAAGACTAATTCGTAGTTTTATGTCTTTGATTAAAATGGTCAATATTTTAGCACATTGAAAAGCTAAGTAAGAATTTAAAAAACTAAGTAAGAATTGAAGTAAGCTAAGAAGTAAAGCTAAGTAAGAATTGAAACTCCTTCCAACAATACAAAATAGTGGAAAAGTTAAAAGTTACTAGTATAAAATAGTATAACAGAGTAAAAGTCAGCATATAAATTTTGATTAAAGATGAACTTTGAATCTTAACCTTCAGAATAATTCCAAATTCTAATCTCAGTTCCAAATTCTAATTCATATCATTTAGGTTTGGGGACTACTAAATAATAACTCTAAACCTAATGATATGTTGTGTAAATTTCTAAATTCTTGAGATTCTCAGAACAGTACTTAAATTTAAACTCTATCGAGCATATCTAGCACGAAAAACAATAACTGAAATTAGAAAAACTTGGCTAGAAATTAGATAAAATCTAGTTGAATCTGCGTCGAAAGGATTAAACCATATTTTAAAAATTTTTATTTGATGGAATAATTAAAGTCAGATCCCTTTTGTGATATAGCAAAGATACTGATTTTTCAACTAAATATTTTAGGTTTCGAAAAAGTTCTTAGTGTGAGGAAAACGCTAAATAAACGCGTATTTTAAAGAGCACCGCGTTTTATACTTTTAATCTAATGTCTTTTATAGTTTTAATCTAATGTCAAGTTTTAACGTTGTATTCGGAAACCGAAATTATGTGACCACTTTTGTGAGTCACTGTATGTAAACGGGAAAAAAAAAAAAAAAAAAAAAAAAAAAAAAAAACTTGTATTTTCTGTAACTTTTAATTAATCTGAGCCTAAATTTTAGCCTTGGACTTTTTCGAATTTTGTAAAGGTTTTGAAATATTAAAAAGAATATCATTTTGTTATAAGATTTATTCTTGAAATCAAAAATTCTTGAAATGCAAATGATTATTTTCAGTAACTCACCTACGATTAAATGACAACTGTAGAGTAACCATAACTTCAATAACTGGGAAAAGCAGTAGGTTTGCTTTTGGTCGCCGATATGCTTGATCCTCATCTAGGTTCTCTAAAAATGTAAAATAATAATAATAATAATAGTAAATGAATAAATACATAAATTCTCCGAATCAGATCAGATTTAATGCTTTCCGAGAGCCTATTTTTCAGAACTAAGCAACAAAATCAGTGAAATTCGTAAGAAATGGAATGTAAGTTCCGTTCCTGGGATCTTTAATTCTTTAAAAGGCTATTATTTATGTCTGTAATTTAAAATTTCTCCTATTTCACGCAAGGCTTCAGAAAAAACAGTGAATTTTCTCTTATCCACTTTGCAAGTTTGGCGTTCATTGTCCCCCAAGAAAGCTGGACCATGACGAAATATTAAATAACAAAAGTATGAGAAACAGGTGTAATTACTACTAAAGCTTATGTAGGAGTGTTATGTGCGTTAGGCACGTAACTAAAATATTTCCTAGTAAAAGCTAATACATCATTTAAAAGCATAAAAGGAATTAATATGTCTCAAATAAAATTGAGATATAATAATAATTAAAATATTAAAAAGTTATGTGAAGTAAATTATGAATATATATGCGTAAAACTATAAAATACATTGTAACGATAGGCAAAAATAAATTTAGTTCACTTTATAAAAGCCAACAAATATTTCTACAAGACTTCTTTTTTCCAAAGAAATTTTAGTAAAATAAGATCTAAGATCGTTTGATGACCCATTGGATATTTACAAGGGTGACAGTTACGAGTTTCAATTGTACACTTAAAACTGATATGTGCTCAGGGATGGATTAAGACTTTTAAAAGCCTTAAGCACATAAAATATTTTGGTGCAATACATTTATGCTTATTCCCCTCCTCCATTTCGTCTTGATTAGTTGCACCATTCCGTAGTAAAACCGGCAATGGAAAGTTTTCGTAACGCCCCTTTCCTTGAGTTCTTAAGACCTGTTTGTAGTGCCTTCTTTCTTTGACACCCTAAAAGCATATACTTATTTTGTTTAATGGTTAACTCAGCTCTTTGTCTGCTAGACCAGGGATCCGGCCCGCGGATACAATTTTAATTTGTCGGTTTGAGGCAAATTAAAAGAAATATATATGTATATATTATATATCCAACTCATTTTCTACTTTGTTTAAATATTATTTTTTTTCTTCTCTTTTTTCAAAGGACTGATTATCTTTTTACTTTCTATGTTTTTGTTCTACAAAACATAAATCGACAGAAATAGCAAGCACAGGCAGCTTTCAATCGGTAAAGTGAATTATTCGTGAATTTCAGGAAGGGCTTTTAACTTTGAAAGTGCCTATAACAAATATATATAATATTACGATCGATGGAGAACCAAATATGACAGGAAAAAAAAATCTGGATTTCTTGAATTCTTTAATCAAATCATCACGGGAACAAAGTTGTTTTTTACATTGTTTCAAGATGCTCCGTGTAAATCTGCATTTAATATGAAACCCATGCCTGATGCAGTCGTGAAGCTTGTAAATACTATTCGATCTCGTGGGCTTACAGGCAATTTCGAGATTTTCTTCATTCAATGCAATCTGAATACTCTGGCGTGCTGTATTACGCGAAAGTAAGGTGGATTAGTGCAAGATGTGTTCTTGAGCGAGTTTAACAACCGAAAGACGACATTGTGTCGTTCTTCCATGTGAAACAGTGTTTTGCGGAGTGCAAAATGTAAGAAGATACAGAATGGCTTTCGGACTTTGCATTTTTCACAGATTTTCTTTGTGATATGAGCAACTTGAATGTCAAGATTCAAGGGAAAAATCAATTAACCGACGATATCTTGGCCCATCTCAAAGCTTTTAAACTAAAACTTAATCTGTTTCGTGGGCAGCTAGCCAAGAACAACTTGTCGCGTTTCCCGAGGATAAATTCAGTACCCTCAGTAAATGAAGAGACGCTTAAGAATTATGAAGATGGCTTGAAAAAACTGCATTTTCAGTTCAATTTCAGTTCCATTTAAACAGAATTGGATATTTTAACTCTGCCTCTCAAAGTAAATTGTGAAGCAGTGTGGTCAGAATTGCAGCTTGAATTAATTGAGTTGCAAAAAACCAATCATCTCAAGCAGTTGTTTCTAAATATGCCAAAGTTAGAGTTTTACAAATCATTATCGAAAACCTTAGAAAGAATTATTTCAGAAGTAGACTGACAGATTAGCATTTAGCCTCGTTGCTTAGAATCAGTACATTTGACTTCGAACCTCAATATATAAGGAGCTTTTAAAAATGAAATCGCAATTTCATTCATCTCATTAACATATTTAAATTGTAATACTTTTATATTGTTTTTAAAATTTTATCTTGGCCTACCAAACTTTTTTTTTTCGATTTTTGTCCCGCGACCGAAAACGATTGCCCATCCCTGTGTTAGAGCATTCCCTTCAATCTCTTGATCTTAAGCTCTCACGTAATTTCATTACTTCAAAAATTACAGGAAGCAGGATTGCTTTATTCGAGAAATATTCTCAATACTTTGTAATATTGTCACGAATTTTGTATATTTATATATAATTTTAGCGAAATTATGTGTGAAATTGTAGTATCTTTTGTATAATGTAAGATGAAATGCTTGAAAATGCGAAGCTCTGCCGGAAAATAAGCTTACATGGGCAAATCTGTTTAACATTGAGGTGAATGGCTGTCTCGCTAAACTGGCGAGGTATTGCCAAGCTGGCAATGCTCCGGTCCTTGTATAACTGCAGTTGAATATGTAACTATAACCGTGCTCAGCCTTTATATGTAGCTTTAACCGTATATGTATTCCTGTAATTTCGAGAAATGGATGGTACTAGTAGTTTTTCGGCAGCCCGGGGGGGGGGAACTAGTATGTAAGACCGAAGAGAGCGTCAGTTTCCCAGTTTTTAATTCAGAAGCTGATTTCGATGTGCATCCAATCCATTATGAAAAAATCTGGATTTCTTGAATTCCTTAATCAAAACTATCCCGCACGAAGCAGTATCCAGAGCTGTGCATATGATAAACTTTATTCTCGGCAGCCTTCGACTTTCTTATCAAACACATAAAGGTTGCTGCAGCGTGACTTTTATTCGGTGTGTAAAACTGAAATATAATTTATCCATATCTATGTATTAAAATGTGTTACTGGTGGCAGTCCTATTAATTATATCAAGCAGAAGTTTTAAATGACTTTATATTTGGATCACCTTTATCGTGTCATTATACCAAAAGTCTCGTTTTTAACCCAAAAGAAAACGAAGACAAGACGGATTTCCTTAAAAGAAAAGACTGTCATCAAGCATAGGGTGTTGAAAAGAATGATGAGCATGCGACGGTGTTTTCAAATAAAAGCTAACTACTGATACTTCGATTAAAGTGGTATAGTTCGAATCAATAAACGCAAAAACATGCGCAGGATATGTTTTGAATATTCCAGAACACATTCTCAAAGCCTGATGATGAGTTGATTCAGACTACAGCAAAAAAGAAACGAAAGCAAAAGATCTTTTGAAAACAGAGAAACGAAGAGGAACCTGTACATGTTTGCTTCGAAATCGAATGAGGTCTTGATATAAATCTACGCCAAACTCAAGGTTGTTGTGTTATTAATTTTATAAATGATCTTTTACCTAAAAAATTTGATTCAGATCGTATTTAACCATCACAAAAGTCCTATTGCCGCCCAGACGATATAGTGGTTAGGAGAGCCTACTGCGGTACCGAAAGGCCCGAGTTCGAATCTCGAAAAAGGCATGGATGTTTTTAAATGTACAGTGTCCCTGTGGCAGGTGAGCACTCAAATATGTGGCGACCCGAAAGTCCTTTCGTGTAGACTGGTGGTAGGGGACAGAGGTGGGAGACCCTCGGACACCCCCTTCCTCCCCGGAGTACTCTTCCTCAAAACTGGAGTAGAAATTGACTTCCATACTACGTTTATCACATATCTTGTTAGCCCGTGCTGCCAGGTGAATTCCAGGTGGTGCGCCAGCCCCTCTGAGGGGCCAGAGCGGAGGTTGAACCTCCTCGCCTGGTCCTGAGGGGGAGTTAGATCTGTAGTACGGATCATTAGAGTTACGCGGAGCAGAGCAGCCAAGAGATCGATATCTTGTTAGCCCGGGCTAGGGCTCCTGCCACATTCATTCAACTATTCCCTAGGGACTAGGTTGAATTTTTTGAGCTCTCTCGCTACTTGATTTATTTGTAAGTATGTCTCACTTGTTCTCGCATACGACAGCCAGCTAGAATAGGCAGTGACTACTTCGAATTTGCTTATCTAAAATTTTTACTTTCAATCACCGACCGGAACCTCTCTTGATCATGAATAAGAAAACGGAAAAAGATGACGAAAAAATTAAAGCCAGTCAAATGATAACGAAAAGCTTAGAAATCGAACGAGAAATTAAACTCCTAACTTATGCCAATAACGAAAAACCCACTGATGATAATATAAAAAAAAATCAACGAACTTAACACGGAATTAGCTAAATTATTTTCGGAATTACCAAAACATGAATCTTCATTATATGAAGCTATAAGTAGGATCTGTCAAACTAATAACGATACATGGACCGCACCTAGAAAAAGAGCACGCAATTTATCAAATGATAACATCCCTCCAACGCAATTATCCAACCAATTCGATGCATTAACAATAGATCAAAATCTCGATAATGATAATAATCGATAATGATAAATAATGATTCCACTAATACTTTACCTTTCAAACAACCGCAGCAATCTGCCAATAAAATACCCCCCCTTGTAATAACTCAAGATATCAACTGGAAGGACATCAGAAAAGATTTTATAGAAACACTTAAAATTTGGTAAATTCGAGGCTAAACTTAGAAGGCGAAAATTTCGTAATCAAAGTTACTAGTATAGACGATTATAAAGCAGCCCAAAATTATCTAGAAACTAAACATATCCCATATCCATACTTATTTATTACATCTGACAAAGCATTAAAAGGCGTTTTAAAAGGCTTCTCAACGGACTACACCAATAGAAGAAATTAAAGAGGAAATAAAGAAACTGCAAATACCAATAATCAAAGTTATAAGAATGGTA